GGAGGGGGGGTTCAATCTTATGTGTATCTAGATCTCACAACTGGCTGGGTAGGTTGCGCGGTTGCTAGTCTGCACCGAACGTTTTTCCTGGTGTTTATCGGACTGTTGTTTCCATTTGCTTCGGTGGCGTGGCCGTCCGATCTTGCAAGCAAGGCTTACGATTTCTTGGAACAATTGTCTGGGATCGCCGTTTTTTGGAGCCCGCCACACTCCCGTCACATCTATTTATGGCTCAATTTCGATCGATTGTTTGCCAGCAGGGTGGACGGAGTCTCTTTTAAGAAATCCGGATAAGTTGGTGCACCTTCTTATGAAAACCTGAAAAATCGGATCTTAACCCTCTTTTTTCTTTTCTTTTTTTCTTTTCTTCTGCAAACCATATGAATCTTTTTTCCGCCTCAAAATTTTGAATTCTAACAAGTTAAAAAAGGTCATTTACGTGAACAAGCAGCTATCACCGTGTCATCACAGACAGCAAAAGATGTCAGTTTGTAAGTTTTTAGCGCTTAATCAGCAGCTTACCCTCTTATGCTTCCTGGGATGTTTCTGTGTGTTCTAGGGTCTGCAGGGGTAATGTAATAATATTAAGTAAAGTGCAGAGCTTGCTATCGAGCGGAGACTGTTATGCATTATACAAAATACTATTTATTACATGGTGAAATATATATATAATTATATTATATTTATGCCAAATGTTTCTAGATCAAAAGGAAGTACATGTTAAGAAAACAAAGAGCGTGTGAGACGAGCACAAGCCAGCTTATTGTGATGTGATGTTGAATTCCTCAGCTCTCGCGCCCATGTCAATCGATATAGCTGGAAATTGAAACATGGTGGTTCTTGAGAAGTGCAGATATGATGCCTAACTACCACCCACCCCCCTCCGCACGGACGTGTTCACGCGCGCGCGCACACACACACACACACACACACACACACACACACACACACACACACACACACACACACACACACACACACACACACTCACACACTCACACACTCACACACACTCACACACCCATACACATTTGCATGCGCGCGAGTGCACACAAAAGACGATCGTCAAAAGTCTGCTTAACAATGGAAACGTATCAGAAGGCTACAAAAGCCAAAAGACAAAGGGGTCTACTCAGTGGCGTCAGGTTGGTTATAAAAATATGGGTAGGACTTGCAATGAAGGAACGCAGGGTCCCTCAAATTAAAATAGATGTGTAATGACTGAAAAACCAGTCAAATACGAAAGAAAACTTGAAAATATATAGATTCGAAAGTATTACAAACTTGTTATTCGCAAGACGGACCCTCTTACACCTAGCTCTACACCCCCAGGACTTTTAATTAAAGATAAAAACTCACAGAGAACCGCGGAAAAAAAGAAAGTTGGGGTGGGGGGGGGTGGGGGGTGGAGTGCTCAAACTACGCCTTGGACTGGAGCCTCGAGGGTGTGCAAATTGCGTGTCGAGCATGCCGAAGCACGTACCACTGCGATTCAGCTTCAGCCTTGGCTCCTAATAACAGAATCACCAGTCGCTTGGTCTCAGCCTTGACCAAAGCAAAGGGAATACCCCAGTTGTACATAATACGTATTCAGTCTGTGAGAACGTAAGTGCTGTTCTGACCGTCAAGGTGCTGGGGCTTAAAGAGCGAACTAATGAAGTTTCATTCTCCCCGATAGAAGCAGTGCCTGGATGGATAGAGCTATAGCTGAAGTACGGTATGCATACGGTATACACCCAGAACAGTCACATCGCTTTTCAAGTTATGCTTCGGAAGTTTCGTTTAAGTCTTCGTAACGTGAGCCTTTTTTTTTTTGAATATGTTATGAACGTTCCTTTTATTACAGTTACGAAATGTTTTGCTTTGATTGTAGTTAGCAGAAGTAACTTCCGAAGGAGCCCAAATAGGGCTGAAACTACAAGCCCCATCTCACCAGACACAATTGGGTCTGCAGCTCCGGACGCGCAAAATAAATTCATGTTTGAATGTATTCGTTTCAGTAAAAGAGAAATACATCGGCACATAATATAATGGTTATTTAAAGCTGGAGAAAAATAAGACAGACAGTCAGAAACAATGGAGGGAAAGTAAAGAAATAGGACCTACCAGTAGCACCCTTCAACCGCCAACCATGATTTCGCTGACCTCCCAGCCCGGATTTGGTCCACAGGCCGTAGACAGGTGACATCTGACATATAAAATACAGCCACTGACTTGGCATTCTCTCTCTGTAAGCTACAGTCTGACGTATCTGATTAGAGGGAATAAGGTATCCCTGTGACCTGACCCAAGAAGGTTATTGCTGTGATCCCAAAGGAAGAGATTAACTACTTTTTTAAAAGTATCCTCTCCAAGGTCTAAAGGCTGTAAGCAAATCTGCTAACAAAGGAAACAACGTTTCTCAAAGATCTGAAACAAAAGGATAGAGACAGGGAAGTGAACCGCTTGGCAAGTGTGAGTGTCCGG